GACGGCACGATAATGCACACGTTCCTAACACGAGGAAATGCTATCATAGCATATACGTTAAGCGTGTCGGCCTGCCTCACATTCTGCTGTTTTCTCTCGACAGTATTTATCGATTACAGGGCGAACGTAACGTTAAATACGGTTAAAGTTGTCGTGTAAGTATCGAACGTGGATGTAGAAATTTATTATATTGCACAATTTATTACACAGTTTATTATTTTTCAATTAGATTGCGCTTAAGTTTCTGTCGAAAGATCCATATTGTACTCATAAGTCATACTCTGGAAGAAAAGTAATTTTCTTGCATGATTTAAATGTGCAAATATTGCAAAGCTTGTACTGCTTCAGTATTCAAAGATTAATACATATTACATATAATTTATTACACTATTTATAATATATCTCAATAAAATTGTGCTTACGTTTCTGTCAAAGGATCTATGGCTGTGGTCCACTTGACGCTACAAATGCTTTGGAGCGTTCTTCTTCTCCTTCTTTCTTCATTGAAAGAAAAGAGAAGAGGAATGCTTCGAAGCATTTGTAGCATCAAGTGCAGTCAAGTGGACCTCAGCCTATGTCGTACTCAGAAATCGTATTTTGCAAGAAAAACAAACTTTTCTTATTGAGCCTGAATGCAAATATTACAAAACTTATACTGCTTTAATATATCGAAGATCAATACATATAATTCTGCATATTTATAATTGCTGTAGTAAATGTATTTTATTTTGCAGAAAGAATGTACCAGATTACAGTGCGTCGAGAGAGAAAAATGACTTGGGCTACTTAACTTTTGATCTACAAACTGATATCCTTTTCACGCAATATTGTACAAGTGTCTTTGTGCCGTTAAAGTCAAATATTTAATTTGCATAAATCCATTTACATGTCATTTCTAATCATCTTATGCATTTCATAAAAATGGCTCATTTTGGTAAAAAAAAAACTTCTTTTATTCTCTATAAAACGGCATTGTATTTAGTTCATATGTTTTGAATTATATTTGCCTTACAAAACTTTTACATCTCACTCCATTATTTAATTGGAATGTTAAGCAATTATTCTTATACCTCACGGCGGACTATCAGACAGAAAATAATGAATTTAATCAGGTATTTAGGTTCATCAATTTACTATATGTATTCTCTTTTCTTGCTTGAGATCAGTTTTTTTTATAAAAAGATTTAATCAATATCTCATTTACATTAACAGGTAGTACTATGGGATAAGATAGTTCTTCGTGGAGATAATGCTGTACTCGATTTTAAGAATATGAACACGAAGTATTACTTTTGGGATGATGGCAAAGGCCTCAGGTAAAATTGATTATTGTAAAAACACAGCTTCTGTAATTTTTATTGATAAACTCGTACATGATAAATATATTTCTGCTTTTCGTTTTTTTTTACAGGGGAAATAAGAATGTAACGTTAACATTGTCCTGGAACATTATTCCAAATGCTGGATTGTTACCTAGTGTTAATGCTCTCGGTTCTCATACTTTTGCATTCCCATCTGAATACACGACGTTACGTGTATAACGCATATTTAAATGTATATGTGTTATGATTGTGTACTATAATATGATTTTGTAAGACTTATTTAAACTGCATAAAATTCATGTACAATAAACAACGTTTATTTCTTCATGATCATTGTTTCATTATATTCACCAGTGTATTCGCTCAGTTTACTGTACCCTATGTATATTTCTCAATATATATTTGTTTTTAATGGGCTATTAAATTTAAATATTGTGTATATTAAATATATGAGTACCTAGGGGAATTGGAAATCAATCTGTATTTACAAATTAGAATTATTCTTTTTCAAGAATTCTCAATTTCTTCCCGCATACTTGTGCGTGATTAAATTTTTCGACAATTGATATCTCATTCTCAATTATTGCTATTTTACTCATCTGTAAATGTGCTAAGCTTTATTTTTACTCTCTGAACTTTCTTGTGTTTTGATATCTTTTTTTTCTTCATCTGCACTTGACGATTCATCGTCATCATCCTCTGTATCGTCGTCATCATCGTCTTCATCATCATCATCATCATAGTCATCATCTTCATCTTCATTGTCATTGGCATAACTAGTTCCATAACAAGACTCTTGATTTCCTGTCGCAGAAAGAAAATATTTCCTCAAAGATATTAAAAAAACATAAATATTCCGATCTTTAAATTTTTATTGAGAACAAAGGAGAATCTCGGTTTACCATAATTATATCCGTTTTCATCGTCGGATTCGGATGGACCACCCTGGTTTTGTCTGCCAAACTTGTGACTCCTCGCTTTAAAAATGAAAAGCGAATGAATTGAATAAACTTAATAGATTTCTATAATAAAACAAACGCTATCTGATCAATGCTTACTGGACATGCTTAGATCCTTAGTCTGTGATGTCTCGTAGCTGCACTTTGGACAAGGAATAGCCTTGTTCTTCTCGTATTTAAAACCTTTTCTACGAACGTGATCCTCGCAATAGCACGTCTTACACCTGAGACAAGAGTACTGTCCCAAACGATTACACGACTGGCCTACAAATTCCAAATAAATGTAAAAATACAATTAAAATTAAATTCAGAATGCGCAAAATGTGTCTCTTTGTACAACATCACTACATTTGAAATTTTCTGCTTCCAGTACTTGGCAGGACGCTTGATGCTCAAACTGATCGTCCTCGCACAGGAAGCAATCGCAGAACGAGCACTTGAATATTCTTCCGCCATGATCCCAAACGCCTCTCTCGCATTCCTGACAAACGGCGTCCATCAGCGGGCAGACGCAGGCGTGACTGGTGAGGCAACGTCTTCCGTGGCATACCCAGGCTTCGCAATAATCGCATATGGCTCCCTGAAACATTGCGTTTGTGATACCATGCTGGGATAGATAAATTTAGAAAAGCAGCTCTGTAATATCGAAGAGACGCAGATTTACTTGCCACCATTCCCAGTCCCGTGGTGAAGACCCCGGGATGACGCACCACGCAGTCTCCCGTCTTCAGCATGCACTTGATCTTGCCGCATTGCGCGCATATGGGCAGTCGCTGCACGCTCTGGCAGAAGTAACAGAAGGCACGGCTCTTTTGCTTCTTATTGCACTTGTCGCACTCCTGGGCACGCCGATAAAAATTACGTTTAGAAACGTGTGAAGTGTGCTTGTGATTGAAAAAGCATTGCTCACCATCACGGAGTTGCAGGGAAACTTGGCCAGATCAATCTGCTCCTTGGCAGCTCTGATCTCCTTCTGCCGAAGTTTCTGCTTCTCGGCCTTCTTCCTCTGCCCGGTCTTCTTCTTCGGCATCTCGCCCTACTGATAGCGCGCGCTTTGCAACGAACTCCGGCTTCCCGTCGCCCCGGGATGTAAATCACGCGAGAGATCGCAACAGGTTATTGAGGTTATGGTTTTGAACAGGTTTTGAACGCGCACCATTGGACCACGAGACACGAGACGCTCGAGGGATCGATATTACGATTTTCGCGTCTTTCCACACTGTAAATAAATGAACCGCGTGACAACCATCTGATCAGGATTATCAAAAAGGTTTTTTTTTTATTTATATTAGATATATTTTATTGTAAGGTATGAAAATAATTATTATTCGTTTCTGTTAACAACGGAGAGAGAGAGAGAAACGATAAGGTAAATATAAGTAAGCAAATTTGCAGAGATTTTTGCTCTTTCAGAACTAATCTGTCAGATGGAAGCGTTGGGTTACGATAAGGAGAACCGCGAAATATCTTGGAACAACAACGGGCGGCCCAAGTCGCCGTACACCTTTGAATCCCTATTGCTGTTAGATAACTCGTTATTGTGTAACATAGAACCTGAAAATGGACTGCACGTCTCTTCAGACACGCGCGAGCCCTTCCGAGAGCACAATGATGGCTCGATGGCACAAGCGTCCAAAAGGCAAGTGCAGAACGTTGCAACCGATGCAACAACCGGAGCCAAAGTATCGTCCGATGTGTCCCTCAACATGAATGAATGGCAGGACAGAACATTGATGAATCAGATATTCGCACAGTTTGACTCGCAGAACGAGGAAGAAATTGTACTAGAGAATTGTAATGACATCAGCAATTTTGATATGTTTGACACATTTTGCAAAGAGGACACGAATTCTGAATCGGGCAATAATGTAGATCAAAATGTTGAGAAAGCACCTTCAAATCAATTGCATAAAGGTACATCATATCAAGGTGAATCGATGAACATGTCGTATTTGCATATTACGAACTTTGGTGACGACACCTTCGAAGACAGTTCTTTCAAAAAGAACGACAGCAGAGAGAGTTCGCCAATTTTAAAAACCAAACCTAGACCCTTGAGTGAGTGTAAAATCTTAAGAAAAAAACCTCGTTTAAATGGCGCTGCGTCAGTGTCGAAAGAAGCTGAAAAAGAAACAGATTCCACGTCAAATTGTTCTTCATTTTACGGTTTACCAGATACTGTGAAAAAATTGATACACGAAGTCAAGGGAATTTCTGAGTTATATCGTAAGTTTGCAATTACAAATGAAATTGGTTTAGAAATGAAAATGGTTTTCATTGTTTTTTTTCTTATACAGATTGGCAAGACGAATGCTTAAAATTGGCCATTAGAACCAAGAAGAATTTAATTTACGCTCTGCCAACAAGCGGCGGCAAAACTTTGGTTGCAGAGATATTAATGTTCAGAGAGATTATATGTAACAAAAAGAATGCCATTTTTATACTTCCATATGTGGCTTTGGTACAGGAAAAGGTGCGACACTTTCAAAATTGATATATTAGAGAAATTTTCTTGCAAACCAATTGTATATAATTAACTGAGCTCGTAAATTTATGTACGTAGGTTCAATCAATGGCTGCATTAGCATTAAAATTAGGTTTTTTAATCGAGGAATACGCTGGTACAAAGGGTCGTTATCCACCAATTAAACGACGAAGGAAAAACAGCATCTATATATGTACCATAGAGAAAGCATTAGGATTTGTAAATAGTTTAATAGAAACGAAACGTTTAGCCGAGGTAAGCTGAAATATTAGTAGATAATTATCACAATATTAAATGATGTAACATGTAAAAACAATTTTCAAAAGTATATATTGGGAGCTCTTCAATTGAGCTGATTTATCATAGCCTCATAGCCTTATAATATGTGAATTTTTATATTTGCTTCCACTTAAACTGCACGTTGATTATTTGTCAGTCTTAAAACACAATTATTCGTTGGAGCAACAAATTCAACACACTTAAATAATTGATTTAACTTTTGATGCTAATGAGCATTCTTTAAATCACTGTAAAGAATTTACTGCGACAAATATTATACCAGCCAGGGTTTGAACCTGGACTTCCCTCCAATCCGTGAATCAGCCCAACCGAAGACAGCACACACCACTACTTACTTCGCAGTTGTTTGAAGCAAAGACATTCTCTTTAATATTTACTGGTTATTGCGATAAATATTATTACATGTCACTGTGGTAAAATTGGTAAAAACACCCGTCACAGATTGGAGGAAGTCCAGGTTCAAATCCTGGCTACTCATATTTTTTTGCAATAAATTTTTTACAGTGATTTGAAGGGTGCTTATTATTGAAGGATGCTTAGCATTAAAAGTTAAATGGATTATTGATTTAAATATGTTGAATCTATTGTTTCAATGAATAATTGTGTTTTTTGAGACTGATAAATAATCAACGCATTTGAATGAAAATTAGGAAAAAAAAAAAAGAAAAAAAAAAGTTATAATTAATCAGCCCGAGTAACGACAATATTTCCCTATTTACTTGAAAATCACTTTTTCAGTCAACGTTTCTCACTTATTAAAAATATTTTATAGATTGGTATTATAGTTGTTGATGAATTACATCTGCTTGGAGAGTCTGGAGGAAGAGGAGCTACATTAGAAGGGCTTCTTACAAAAATAATGTTCTTCAATGGTAATTACAGATATTTAAATAAAATTATTCAACAAATATGAAAATACTCCCTAAAAATTCTCTTTTTCATAAAATATTAATTCTTTATAGATATAATACGTGTGGTCGGGATGAGCGCAACTATAGGTAATTTAAAGGAAATTGCGCAGTTTCTTAACGCAGACATGTATTCTCAAAACTTTCGGCCAGTTAAAATAACAGAATACGTGAAATGTGAGAATGATATCTGGGTAGTCGACTTGACTAATGAAGAATTGTTAGCAGACATGAGCACCAATGATTACAAGGTGATCTAATTAAATTTTATTTTACAAAATCTTTGTGTATGAAAGAATGTCAAAAAATACATGGATAATTTCATTACAAAGTACTCAGATAATATAGCAATGATGGATCCAGATAGAATTGGAGGTCTAATAATGGAAGTAATACCAAATGATTCGTGCCTTATATTCTGCTCAAGTCGTAAAAACTGTGAGAATTTAGCTTTATTATTAGCAAAAGTCTTGCCTAAGTAAGTTTATCATAATTACTTGAAATATTTCTTTTGAGAAAGCTGTATTAAATACGTACGGTTGTAATATAAGCAGAATTTCACTATTTTAGGAGTTTGTATAATCATAAAACGGACGAAAAGAAAATCTTGTTAAACGCACTTAAGACTGAAGAAGGATTATGCCCCATTTTGCAGAAAACTATCAAATTTGGCATAGCCTACCATCATTCAGGTCTTACGTCCGAAGAACGACGCTTGTTAGAGGACGCCTTTAGAGAAAACACTATATGTGTAATATGTTGCACTTCGACTTTAGCGGCTGGTGTCAATTTGCCAGCAAGGAGGGTAATTATCAACATAATTAACTGATAACGCAATGGCTAATATTACAGCTGCTAATATATATTTTTTTTATTAGGTAATATTACGCAGTCCTTATGTCGGTAATCAGTTCTTAAATTTAAGTAGATACAAACAGATGATTGGCCGAGCTGGTCGGGCCGGTATGGGAGTTTTAGGAGAAAGTATACTTATCTGTAAAAAGGCAGAAATCAATAAAGTAAGAATTGTAGAATAGATTGGAGGCACATATATAATTAAGTATAATCATCTTAAAAGCTAAGAAATGATTTACATTACAGGTGAAAGATCTTCTAATTTCTCAAATGGACGACTCGCTGAGTAGTTTACACATAGAAAACGACAGAGGTCTTAACAATCTGATTCTAAGCGCAATACAATTAAACATGGCAGTAACTAGATCTGAATTGCATAAATTGACAACTACAACGTTACTTAATATTCAACAAAATAGAATAGGCGTTGATTTGAGGACAATCACAGACGAAACGATAACGGCGTTATTAAAATGTGGCGTGATAAAAGTCAAGAGTAAAGGTAGTAATACTGGTGATCCTAACGTAACTGTTGTCATTCCATCTCAAGAATCAACGCGCGTGGATAAGCGAGAAATTAAAAAGGGAATAAAAACGATAACATTTACAAGTGAAACCGAATTTCAGCTTTGTGATCTGGGACAAGCGGCAATGAAAGGTAATAGCAACAAGTTTTTATTTATTTGTTTTAAAATACACTGTGGTATTTCACAATAAATTAGTTGCAGGGCCGATCGATTTGAAAACCGCATACACATTGTATGAGGATTTGAAAACAGCTCAGAAGCATTTAATCTTAATTGATAATCTTCATCTTCTGTACCTTGTCACACCTTATGACAATGTATCTCAAATTACTCCTGTCGGCAGTGTCTACTATGATGTGGTAATATTATCTATGTATATCGATATTGTGCAAGTAATGCTATATATTAATATGTCTTATAATATCTATTGTTCAAGATAATGGATTTGACTGAAAGTCAAATGCAAGTTGCTCGACTTCTTGGAATAACAGAAGCTACGGCAAGTAAAATACGTGCCGGTATAGTGCCTAAGGTCAGTTTATTATTACATAATTGAATGAAATTACACTTAAATTCTCCTGTTTTTTACTAAAAAAGAAAATTTAATTATATACATATAGTCTGTTGAGAAAAGAGTAGTTCAAAGGTTTTACGTGACATTAATAGTACATGAATTATGGAATCATCATACAGTTTATTTCGTTGCTGAAAAATACCAAATTAATAGAGGTGTTATACAAGGTCTATTAAACACGGTCTCAATGTTTGCATCTTCCGTAGTCAGGTTTTGTCAGGTAAATGAATGAGTTACTAGCATAATAACTACCATGATGAATATAATATAGTAGAAAAACTCAGAATACATCAGTCTTACATTTTTATTTACAGGAATTACCCGAGTTTTGGGCATTTACGGAGATGTTAAGTGCATTTAGCAAAAAACTATCTTACTGTTGTCCATTAGAGCTAGAAAAGTTGATGGAACTGCCATC